AGAACTTACCGTATTTCGTCAACGGCGAACGTCAGATACCACAATGCAAACATCGTTTATTATTGTTGTTTTCTGTAAATAAGTGGAATAAAAAGAAACACGTTAATTATAGCACTTATGACTATGACTAAAGCAACAGTAGTCTAGTCTATAGCCGATTTCAGTAAAATATTTCAATGCTGAAAACAAAATTGAGTGCACGAATAAATATATTCAATAAACCGTTTAGAATCGCAATTAAAATTGAGTCAAAACATTTGCCGGCATAAATTTTGCTTTGATTGTTGTGCACAGTTTATTTATAAACAACTGATTGCCAAGCGCATGCATGTATGTGTGTGTCTGTGTGTGAGTGAGTAACTCGCTTGCCAATTAAAATGACAAAACTGCATGCATACACAGATATACACACACACACATACACATTCACATACACGTGAGTGTCGCGCCGCATCTTTTGGGCAATTGGCTGCCGATTGATTTTGCATAAATGGGGCAACACTGGCCGGCGCCAAGGAAAGAAGAATGAAGAATGATAGCGGGAGAGGGAGAGTAGGCGGAGGGCAGAGCTGGCAATTCACATGGCTTGCTTTATTATTATTTAAGCGCCTTAGAAGTGAGCGAGTGCAAATGAGAGCCGGGTGAGGGGAAGAGGATAGCGAATGAGTAAAGGAAAGGGAAGAGAGTCTGTTTTAGTTTATTATTAAAATGAGTGCACAGAGAGTTGGACTTCTGTGTGACTTGAGCTATGGCTAGTGTTTGTTGTTGTTGTTGTTGTTGTTATTGCCTAGCGTAGCGGCGTATGAGCAATATTTGAGATATTTTTACACATGCACACACAAACGCACCGAAATCGTTACGTCACAACAAGCGTTAGCCAGAGCGAAAGAGAGAGAGAGAAACAGAGAAATAGAGACAGAGAGAGCGCGTAAATTTGAACTAGTCATAAATATGTATGACACAGACAACGCGTTGCATGCAACACGCTGCTTGCACTCACCTTTAGTAGCAGGTAAAGAATGCAGCTAGTCTAAAGTTTTAGTTCACGTTGGGTTGGTTAATTAATTCGTTTGGAGCTTTTCGTATAGTTTCGTTTGTTGTTTGGGCGTAAAATGTTTCAAAAATGTATTTTTTAAATGCGATTTATGGTGTATCAGTTTACGAAAATATGTTGTACAAAAAACACACACGTCTTAAATTTTGTTTTTAAAAATTTTCATGCAACGTTTGTTGATTTTTTCTCAGCTTTTTTTTTTCTTTCACTTCACTTGCTGCGCTTCTTTCGTGCTGCTAACAAATTTTCGACTGTGCGAAAATCAACGGGCAACTGCGACCATACGGCCAGAGCGAGAGAGAGCGAGAGCGCGAGCTATTCAGAGAGAGCGTGCGCCGATGCCGCAGCTGGCATCCCTCTCGTTCTCACTCGCTCTCTCTCTCTTTTTACGTAGCGGCTGCTGCAACTATGAAGCTTTCCTTCGGCAACCTATATAAGTGTGTGTGTGTGTGTGTGTGTGAGTGTGTGTTCTGTGAGAATTATACTCTTTGCTTAGATACCGGGCGGTTGTTACTCATACAACGCCATTACGCTATATCTCAAATATTCGACGTATCAATCATGCCTAGAGCGTTAAATGCAGCCAAAAGGCGA